AGGAGAGAGCTCTCTATCTCTTCCCCCCGATGCCGCTTACACAGTAAACTCCAATGTTAATAAAAGCACACAGAAGCTGTATACGTTTTTTGGGAGTTTGATTTATTTTAAATTAACACAAATACAAAATTAAAACCTATAATTGCATACTAAAACCATTATTTCAAAAAAAATAACAATTTCACATAAACCTTTTTACTGGGGCTGGAGCCGTTCAACTTGATTTGGGGGGGGGGGGGGTGCCATAGTTTATGGGCGCTGTACACAATATAGACGTAGTTATGTTAGTATAAGATAATAAGATGTACTTTGTTGATCCAAAATCGGGAAATTGTGTTCTTATGACATTTAAAAAATATATTTTTAATGTCTAACTTTTTTTTTTCCCCAATTTTTGGCGTCCCCGATGGGTTGATGCACCCTTAGCATTCGCCTATACTGCCTATGCCAAGGGCCGGCCCTGCATCCATGGTAATGATACACGCTGCGGCCAGGCAGGAAACATGTGACTTATCAGTAACTTTCGACATCGTAAAACAATTTTAAACGAGATTTTATTGTAGATTATACATTTTACTGATACCAACTATATAATATTTTTTATTTCTAATGACAATCAAACATGTGGGAAGAGGGGGGGGCGGCGCCCCTAGCGCCCCTATGGGCCGGCCGCCACTGGTGGTGACGTTAGACTTTTTCGTTTTCAGACATTTTGACGGACAGGATCGTAACATTTCCGTCATAATCCATTATTACCAGTCGAGTCTGCACAACTCGTCACTCACTCGCGCTGACGGGGCGCCCTGTTGTTGCCATTTTATTTTCTGTTAAATAAGGTTAGTTAGACCATGAGTTAGACCTGAGTCTTCCTGATAGTTCATATTCTGCTGCTGCCCGGTGTAATTCAAATGTACCGCCGCGTGCAGCAGACACACTCTGCTGCCCAGCCGCAGCACCGGAAATGGAACTGCTGGGAGAAAAACTGACTGTCAGAGATGTATTTTGGCAAAGTTTTTATTTAGTAAACTACATTTTCGTCTCGTCACTTTTCGTCAACGATATTGCATGTTGATTTCGTTACAGTTATTGTTTACTGCCGTCGGTGCCGTCTCGTCATCGTCTCATTTTAGTCATGGAAAAAAAGGTTGTTGACGAACATATTTCGTCATAGTTTTAGTCAACGAAATTAACACTATGTCTAATCAGCATCTTGACACCTGTGAGGTGGATGGATTATCTAGGCAAAGGAGAAGTGCTCACTAACACAGATTTAGACAAATTTGTGAACAATATTCGAGAGAAATAGCCTTTTTGTGTTCATGGAATACGTTTTAGACCTTTGATTTCAGCTCATGAAATTTGAGAGCGAAAACAAGTGTTTATAATTTTGTTTTACATGTTACATGACATGTTACTTGTTAGACGCTTTTATCCAAAGCGACTTACATACTCAATACTGTGGGCAATCACCACAGGAGCAATTTGAGGTGAAGTGTCTTGCAGGGACACAACGACATGCTGACTGCAGTGGGGGTTGAACCTGTTCCGAATACCAACGTACAGCGCACAACCCACTGCGCCATGCGCCCCTTCTTCAGTGTATATGTTGCAGACCTGACTGTCCTCATATTAAAAGTTATAATGAAGATAGGTCCTGTGTTGTGTTAACTGATGGCTGTTAAGAATGAGGACATCATGATGAATACTGTTTGCTAAGAGAAACATTTTACCATACACACAATAATTAACGGAGCAATTAGTTACATCAATCCTGTCATTTTATCAACTGTTTTAGTAGTGGCGTGACGACAGCTTGCATACAACTATGATTCATAACTGACAAACATTCTCTGTGTTTTATCTCCAATGATAAATGTGGAGAAAGAAACTGAAGAAAGAACCCGTTCATGGCTAATTCTATAAAGATCATAGGCTAGCTAGACAATCAGAAGAGGATGAAACTATGTACATTTCAACTCTGTGGGACTAATAAAGGAATTATAATCCTGATTCATCTCTATACAAAGTAGATGTTTTAGTTCTGAATATATATGAGCTGAGCAGTACAAAGTAGCTGAAACTTGAGCTGAAAGGCTTTTCTTGAAGGAAAGTGACAAGTGAAGCTTTCTCGATGTGTTGGGTTGAAATTGTGTTAATGATGTATATGATTAGGATTGGTGTGTAGAGAGATAATTGTATCAAACTGATTCTAAAACTCATGATGCTTGATAAATGCCAGGCTTCTGTTTCAGAGTCCTCAGTGTGTAACATGATAACATGAGAATGAGATGTGATGTCTTTGGAAACCCATGTCTCACCCAATCAAATCACTCCCCATCCCCCTGGCTCTATTTTTAACAATACGTTTCTTCACATTTTCTCTCTGCCTAAGAATGTTGCCGTGCTGTGTCCTGACTGTCACCAATGATTTGCAGCTGCAGTGACATCATTAGGGGAATGATGTCAGAGCAAGTGTGTGAATGTTGAAAATCATCACTTCAGAAATAATGGGCACTAATGGAAAGTTCAAATTGTGTTCAGTTGGGTATTCCCACAGTGACATGTTTGAGCAGGATGGATCGGGGGGCAGAGGTTGTTCAGTTGGAGAGTGGTGGAGGAGATGCTCAGTGCCACAGACGTATTGAGAGACAGAATAACTCTCTGTTGGTTTGAATATTTGACAATAAGACAAATTAATAAGGGACAATGTGCAGCCAGTCATTAATGAGAAAATAACCCCAGACGGGAGGATACTTTCTAAAAGAATCATCGATTTGAATCCCTATACTCATTAACCAATGATTGAATTGGTTCCGCTAAGAAAAATAATCTGTTCCAACGGCTTAACTGCACCAAAGTGACTTGACGGTAGCACTGACCGAGGTTTCCTGTAATTGTCCAAGTCTGTTTACAGTTTATTTTTCCTTAACCAGTCTTTAAACACTGCCAGAGCCCAAACCGTGTTCCTGTTAGTGTTTACTTCCTGTCCGTCTTCTTCTGCTGAAGAATCATGTCCGCATGGATAGGAAAACCAAACTAAATACATTTGCAGACATCTTGTGTCCATATCTTTCTATTTTGGTGGTCATGTCACAACCGTGCACGTGCATGCATACACGAGTCATGGTAAGATATCTGGATTAAGAGGTTGCTTTTTCTTTGCACAGCATGAAAGGAAGGCAAAATGAATGGGCTGTGATTTTAGTATTTTTAAGCAGAGGTCAATCATTTGTACGGCCCTCGGAGGATGTTGAAACAATTGAAATGGCCCTTGAGAGGAAAAAGGTTCCCCACCCCTGCTTTAATATTTAATGACTCTGATCCTCCTTTAACATTCAGAACAGCTGCAGTGAGCAGAGGCTCTGCAGCTGGGGGCGGAGCTCTGGTGCGCGAGTATGAAAACACTTCCGCGTATAGTATGCACTCGTGTCTCCTCGCTCTCGTCTCCTCGCTCTCGTCTCCTCGCTCTCGTCTCCTCGCTCTCGTCTCCTCGCTCTCGTCTCCTCGCTCTCGTCTCCTCTGGAAGCCTCATCCCTCCTCTCTCCTCAACTCCTCCGTGTGCATTTAAGCGTTTGGGACGTCCTTCAACATGGCGTGTCTCGATCGATTTCCGGGTCAAGTCATGGAGGAGAGAGGAGAGAGGGGTCGAGGAGGGACATTGGGATGAACCTACGAAATGAGAAATCCTCTCCTCTGAGCGGTCATTTTAAAGGGACGTTCATTATTAATGACAGGAGGCACAGCAGCTCTCCTGGGAAATGAAATTACGGGCCAAAAGTGTTATTTATAATTATTAAAAGTAAGTAAGGGAAACCAAACCAACTGAGACCTGTCTGTCTGCTGAAATCGATTTCCGATGTGAAATTGACTGGATTTCTTTCTGCGGATTGATATGACTGCAAATGGCCTCTTGATCTAATTGTCTTTAGCAACCTTAGTGTGCTGTTGAAAAAGGGCAGACCGCTTCTGTGCTGTTTACACGAGAGCGCAAACGGTTGTATCCGCTACTTTTCTCTATCGTATATTCCATTCGTTCACACGAGGCCGTAACGGGAACGTGGAAACGGACCCCGCAAACGATAACTGGTCCCAAGGTGGATAGATCTGCAAATGGAATGCTCTGGGGGGCCTAACGGCTTCCTGTGTACGCCCTATACGATCATTTCCTGATAACGATGAAGCCATAGCCCGGCCTCTCCCCACCTCTGCTGCTCACTGCTGTAGCATGGTCAGTAGCTACTGCTACAGCTACTGACCATGCTACAGATGTTAGTGTAAAATCTACAGCTCCTCTACCACAACCATCAGCAACAAGTGGACATGGAGAATTACATGAACTACATGTTGCTAAATCCACCGCAGGGCATAAACAGAAGGGCAACCATGCTCGGGGGTCTTCTTCACTGCTTTTGGTGCATTTTGTGGCGAAAGTACAGCGCCACTTACAGGCCCGGCATATGTACTACAGCGTCTCCAGCGCTTTCGAGCGGTCTAGTGTGGAAGTACAGCGCCACTTACAGTCCCGGTATATGTACTACAGCGTCTCCAACGCTCCCGAGCGGTCTCGTGTGAACGGAAGAAGTTTTTTATATCATATTCGGTTCGTTTGCGTTTCGTATGCGTGTACATGGGGTCTTAATGTCCACACTGACCCATCATAATAGAGTATTCCAATAAGCCGTGTAATAAGAAGTAACAAACCAGTCTGTTGAGAAATGTTATGACATTAAAAAAATCCTACATAATTTCATTACTTGTTAAGTCATAAAATCAGTGAACTAACCAAAAGGAAGGCAGCTAAATCTATCTGAAGGTTGCTAACATTAGGCACAATGATCTACTGGTCATACCAGCCAAACTGTAGCAGCAGAACCTCTGAATGTCCTGAAGGGGGATTACTGCTGATAGAATCTACTTTGTATTTGTGAGAAAAAGGCTATGCTACTTCTTCTTTCACTGCTACAGTCTTTTTTCTAAAACAAAAAATGCAAAACCCTTACTGAAGCTGTTTGAGTGTCCTCTCCTCTGCGGTCAGGTAGTGGATCCTCTCCCGCTCCATCTCCAGCCGTCTGTTTGCTGCCTCCTCACTCTGAACCAGCCCATCACACATCAGCACCACCAGCTCTTCACCCGCCATCCGTAGCATGGATCTCAGGCTCTCCTGGTTTGACAGCTGGAGCACATGGAACAACTCAGGAATCAACAACAGAACTGGTTTTCATTCATGCCCCTGAGCACAGGAACCTTTGACTAGGGGTGCTCCGATCGATCGGCCGATAATCCATCCCACCTCACAGGTGTGGCATATCAAGATGCTGATTAGACAGCATGATTATTGCACAGGTGTGCCTTAGGCTGGCCACAATAAAAGGCCACTCTAAAATGTTCAGTTTTATCACACAGCACAATGCCACAGATGTCGCAAGTTTTGAGGGAGCGTGCAATTGGCATGCTGACAGCAGGAATGTCCACCAGAGCTGTTGCCCGTGAATTGAATGTTCATTTCTCTACCATAAGCCGTCTCCAAAGGCGTTTCAGAGAATTTGGCAGTACATCTAACTGGCCTCACAACCGCAGACCACGTGTAACCACACCAGCCCAGGACCTCCACATCCAGCATGTTCACCTCCAAGATCGTCTGAGAGCAGCCACTCGGAGAGCTGCTGCAACAATCGCTTTGCATAACCAAATAATTTCTGCTGTCAGAAACCGTCTCAGGGAAGCTCATCTGCATGCTCGTCGTCCTCATCGGGGTCTCGACCTGACTCCGGTTCGTCGTCGTCACCGACTTGAGTGGGCAAATGCTCACATTCGATGGCGTCTGGCACGTTGGAGAGGTGTTCTCTTCACGGATGAATCCCGGTTTTCACTGTTCAGGGCAGATGGCAGACAGCGTGTGTGGCGTCGTGTGGGTGAGCGGTTTTCTGATGTCAATGTTGTGAATCGAGTGGCCCATGGTGGTGGTGGGGTTATGGTATGGGCAGGCGTATGTTATAGACGACGAACACAGGTGCATTTTATTGATGGCATTGTGAATGCACAGAGATACCGTGACGAGATCCTGAGGCCCATTGTTGTGCCATTCATCCACGACCATCACCTCATGTTGCAGCATGATAATGCACGGCCCCATGTTGCAAGGATCTGTACACAATTCCTGGAGGCTGAAAACATCCCAGTTCTTGCATGGCCAGCATACTCACCGGACATGTCACCCATTGAGCATGTTTGGGATGCTCTGGATCGGCGTATACGACAGCGTGTTCCAGTTCCTGCCAATATCCAGCAACTTGGCACAGCCATTGAAGAGGAGTGGACCAACATTCCACAGGCCACAATCAACAACCTGATCAACTCTATGCGAAGGAGATGTGTTGCATTGCGTGAGGCAAATGGTGGTCACACCAGATACTGACTGGTTTTCGGACCCCCCCCAGACCCCCCCAATAAAGCAAAACTGCACATTTCAGAGTGGCCTTTTATTGTGGCCAGCCTAAGGTACACCTGTGCAATAATCATGCTGTCTAATCAGCATCTTGATATGCCACACCTGTGAGGTGGGATGGATTATCTCGGCAAAGGAGAAGTGCTCACTATCACAGATCTTTTCAGATTTGTGAACAATATTTGAGAGAAATGGTTAGTTTGTGTATTTAGAAAATGTTTTAGATCTTTGAGTTCATCTCATGAAAAATGGGAGCAAAAACAAAAGTGTTGCATTTATACTTTTGTTCAGTGTATGTATGGGGATGATGAGGCTGAGGATGATGATGATGATGATGATGATGATGATGATGATGATGATGATGATGATGATGATGATGATGATGATGATGATGATGATGATGATGATGATGATGATTACAATTGTGGAGTACCCAGGTAATTTACCTGTAAGTGTCTGAGTTGGTTGAGTTGGAGGCGCAGATCACACACATGTCTCTTCGCTAACACCAAGCTCTGCTGCAGCCCACTGTCCGAGGGGGGGGCGGGGCAGACGCTTTCAATCACAGCCACAGGGACCTCAGGTGATGCTCCTGAAGGTCAAAGTAAGGTGTAGCATGTTCTTTGTGGCAGGTTACGGGAACATCCGTTCAAATTATGGAAAATAATTAAAATAAAAACGTTTCTCACCAGCTCCATTTTTGAGATGTTTGCATTCAGCATTCTCACTGAAAATCACACAGACAGTTACATAATAAACCTACCATCCTTGGTCTAGCCAGGGTTTATACACTACACTCAACTAACTTCATATTTATATTACCTGAAATATACAGACATGATTAGTACCCTACTGTATGTGTTGGGCAGAATTATTTCCTTGTTCAAGCTAATATATGAGTTTGTAAACAAATCATGGCTGAATCAAACAACATATTGATTCTGAAGAGCTGCTGCTCACTAAAGAGATAAAGTGTGCTTTTACAGACCTGAGAGCCTTGACTGCTGGAACATCTGACCCCATAGACAGAGCACTGTGCACCAGCCCTGCCAGACTGGCTATCTGCTCCTCCATGGCTTTCATTCTCTCACTGAAAAATACAAAGACATGCACAGTATCACATGAGGTCTTAAATGGGGCGTCTGTGTAATTTCTGAATCATATGATGTTTCATAATCAGCCCTTCAAATTCACAATGCAATCCAGCAGACATGCCAAAGAAAAGAGATGAAGCCTTCCTCACTGTGTGCCATCCTGGCCCTTATGAGTGTTCATATCATATTTATTGCAAAAAAAAAAATGTGTATTGTTCTTTTCAAACCGCATAGTGTCTCTCCTCAAGGTCAAAGAAAGAACAAAGGAGACCCACCTTGTGCTCTACAGTATTACTAGTGGGCAACAACTCCAAACGGCACACTACTGTAATGATTGTCAAGAGAGAGAACTCCATATCACAGGAAACTAAGAAAAATATCTCTCTTGCTCTGCAGGAGGGCTGCAAGATGGCCAAAATGATTATCACAATTGTTTATCAATAATAGATCTATGATTATTTATCCTGATAAGGCTTTAATTAGTAACAAAATATTTGTTTTGCACTTTTATATTTAATTAAAGCCATTGTTCTCTGATGAAGGCTATGACAAAACCGCACAGACAGACAGGACTAGTAATAAACAGGTTATTAATCTTCTGCTCTGGACGCCACACTGCACAGGCGTTTAGGCGCATGTACAACTTCATTATCACATGCCATCATGTTTGTTTGTTTGTAGGAAGCCAAAATCATGATTGCTATTAAAATGTAATGTGTTGAAGCAGTGTGTGATTGCTGCATCTTGTCTTTACCAATGTGTTTGAAAACGTAGGTCTGAGGAGGACTTTTTATTAAATATACACCTCATAAAGTGTTTACAATGAAGGAATGAACGGGGTCACTCTGGCTATAGCTCACCTCTGGGGGTTGCTGTTGGTCACATGACCATGAAGCAGTCTCTCTGGTTGTCCCAGAGGGCTGTCCAAAAAAACAGACGAGGTAGAGGAGGAAGAGCCACTTCCTCTGCTTCTGTTGACAATCTCCACTTCTGCTCCGTTACTGTCCTGCCGGAGGGACCGGCGGATCGGAGACATCCTCTCTGGAGACAAGGCCACCAGGCTCACGCCTCCAATGATCTGTCTGCCAATCATCCTGACTTCATTGACCCTGTGAGGGGAAGGGGGCGGGGTTTTGGTTCCCAGCGATGGAAGCTGGCTGTCTCCAAACTTCCTGCTCTTCTGCCTGCATGGTGGAAAAAATATGCAATGTATGGATTCATATACACCTGTTGCAGGAACATCACAGGGTGTGCTGGGTCCCACTAGTGAAAATGCTACCATTGTTTTACAATCTATCACTCCACCACTCTGTCACTGATCTGTTCTTCCTCTACACTTAAAGGGAGGTTATTGTCAAGGGGAATATTTACATTCATGTTTCTACCACAAATCACCATCTGGGGTTACAGCAACTATTGTTATCTCCACAAAATGAACAGATAAGAACAAATCCTACAAGGAGGGCCTTTTAATGTCTCAGCTGAAGAATCCCTATATACTGTCACTGTACACTAGCCATTCAATCATTCACATTCTGTATGACCATCATAATCCATCCATAGACAGAGCACTGTTGACAGTCACACATGGTCTTCTGATTGCATCAGACAGAAGACGTGTCTCTGCTCTTGTCTTGTTAGATCTCAGTTCTGCTAAAACTTTTCAATGTTAATCTCCGACATAACAGCTTGTTCTGTGCTCCAAACTGCTCTGAAACACACCATCTACAGATACAGCTCATCTGTGTGTCCCATCCCTGGCCCCCAGCACCAACGTAAGGAACTCACTGTTACCTATGATTAGGCTGGGTCCTTTCACTCCAACATTAAACACACTTGCAAGAAGGACTGCCTTCTTGCATCTACGCAATAAAAATCCAGCACACCGGAGTTCCGGTGGCGTCACCGGAAGTCTTCACAAGACAAGGCAAGGCAAGGCAAGTTTATTTATATAGCACCTTTCAACACAAGGCAATTCAAAGTGCTTTACAAAAAACGAAAGACATTAAGAAAATGGCATTTAAAAACAGTCATTAAAAAGAAAAGATAATAAAATAAACATTAAAAGAAAAAGTACATGGATAAAAGTTACAGTGCAGTCTAAGATATGAATAGTTCAATTAAAAGCAGCGACAAAAAGAAAAGTCTTCAGCCTGGATTTAAAAGTAGTCAGAGTTGCAGCGGACCTGCAGGTTTCTGGGAGTTTGTTCCAGATATTTGGAGCATAATAACTGAACGCTGCTTTACCATGTTTAGTTCTGACTCTGGAGACAGAAAGCTGACCAGTCCCTGAAGACCTGAGAGATCTGGATGGTTCATCATTTAGCAGGAGGTCAGAAATGTATTTTGGGCCTAAACCATTCAGTGCTTTATAAACCAGCAGCAGTATTTTGAAATCTATTCTTTGACACACAGGAAGCCAGTGTAAAGACTTCAGAACAGGAGTGATGTGATCCACTTTCTTAGTGTTAGTGAGGACTCGAGCAGCAGCGTTCTGGATCAGCTGCAGCTTTCTAATAGATTTTTTAGTGAGACCTGTGAAGACACCATTGCAGTAGTCCGGTCTACTGAAGATAAAAGCATGGACAAGTTTTTCCAAATCCTGCTGTGACATTAGTCTTTTAATCCTAGATATATTCTTTAGGTGATAGTAGGCTGATTTAGTAACTGTTTTAATGTGACTGTTGAAACTCAGGTCAGAGTCCATGACTACACCTAGATTTCTGGCTTTATCTGTTGTTTTGAACATTGCACACTGAAGCTCAGCGCTATGTTTGATACGTTCTGACTTGGCTCCAAAAACCATTACCTCAGTTTTATCTTTGTTTAATTGGAGAAAGTTCTGACACATCCAGTCATTGATTTGTTCAATGCACTTACTCAGTGTTTGAATTGGAGCATAGTCTCCTGGTGAAATTGTTACGTACATTTGTGTGTCATCCGCATAGCTATGGTAACTTATTTTGTTGTTCTTCATTATCTGAGCCAGTGGTAGCATGTAGATGTTAAAGAGAAGAGGCCCCAAGATGGAGCCTTGAGGTACCCCACATGTCATATTTTGTCAACTCAGATGTGTATTTACCTATAGAAACAAAGTTGTTTATGTCCTTTAAGTAGGATTCAAACCAATTCAGAACTGTTTTCGAAAGTCCCACCCAGTTTTCTAGTCGGTCGAGTAATATGTTTTGGTCAACAGTGTCAAACGCAGCACTGAGATCTAATAATACTAACACTGAAGTTCTGCCACTGTCTGTGTTTAAGTGGATGTCATTAAAGACCTTTACAAGAGCAGTCTCAGTGCTGTGGTTTGGACGAAAGCCTGACTGGAACACATCGAAACAACTATTTAAATGCAAGAAATTACTCAACTGTTGAAAAACAACTTTTTCAATGATTTTACCTAGAAATGGCAGGTTTGATATGGGCCTATAATTGTTCATTACTGAAGCATCTAGATTATTCTTTTTTAAGAGCGGTTTAATGACTGCAGTTTTCAGGGCCTGTGGAAAAATACCTGAGTGAAGAGATTTGTTTACTATATGAAGTAGATCTGAGGCCATGCAAGGAAAAACATCTTTGAAAAATCATGTTGGAATAATATCAAGGCAGCAGGAGGAGGATTTCAGAAGTTGAATAATGTCCTCTAGGTTTTTATCATTAATCTGATGGAATTGTGTCATGGTGTTTGAATTGATATTAGGTGGACATAGGGACAACACATTTGCTGTACCTGATGCAGAGGCACTGACTGCTTGTCTGATTTTCTGAATTTTGTCAGTGAAAAAGGAGGCAAAATCATTGCATGCCCTGGTGGATAGAAATTCAGAGGCTACTGACACTGGGGGGGTAGTTAGTCTGTCGACGGTAGCAAACAAGGCACGTGCATTGTTTTTGTTTTTGGTAATGATGTCAGAGAAGAAAGACTGTCGTAAGTTTTCACACACTGTTGCTGGTATTTTGGCCCATTCCTCCATGCAGATCTCCTCTAGAGCAGTGATGTTTTTTGGGGCTGTCGCTGGGCAACACGGACTTTCAACTCCCTCCAAAGATTTTCTATGGGGTTGAGATCTGGAGACTGGCTAGGCCACTCCAGGACCTTGAAATGCTTCTTACGAAGCCACTCCTTCGTTGCCCGGGCGGTGTGTTTGGGATCATTGTCATGCTGAAAGACCCAGCCACGTTTCATCTTCAATGCCCTTGCTGATGGAAGGAGGTTGTCACTCAAAATCTCACGATACATGGCCCCATTCATTATTTCCTTTACACGGATCAGTCGTCCTGGTCCCTTTGCAGAAAAACAGCCCCAAAGCATGATGTTTCCACCCCCATGTTTCACAGTAGGTATGGTGTTCTTTGGATGCAACTCAGCATTCTTTCTCCTCCAAACACGTCTAGTTGAGTTTTTACCAAAAAGTTCTATTTTGGTTTCATCTGACCATATGACATTCTCCCAATCCTCTTCTGGATCATCAAATGCTCTCTAGCAAACTTCAGATGGGTCTGGACATGTACTGGCTTAAGCAGGGGGACACGTCTGGCACTGCAGGATTTGAGTCCCTGGCGGCGTAGTGTGTTACTGATGGTAGCCTTTGTTACTTTGGTCCCAGCTCTCTGCAGGTCATTGACTAGGTCCCCCTGTCTGGTTCTGGGATTTTTGCTCATCGTTCTTGTGATCATTTTGACCCCACGGGGTGAGATCTTGCGTGGAGCCCCAGATCGAGGGAGATTAGCAGTGGTCTTGTATGTCTTCCATTTTCTAATAATTGCTCCCACAGTTGATTTCTTCACACCAAGCTGCTTACCTATTGCAGATTCAGTTTTCCCAGCCTGGTGCAGGTCTACCATTTTGTTTCTGGTGTCCTTTGACAGCTCTTTGGTGTTGGCCATAGTGGAGTTTGGAGTGTGACTGTTTGAGGTTGTGGACAGGTGTCTTTTATACTGATAACGAGTTCAAACAGGTGCCATTAATACAGTTAACAAGTGGAGGACAGAGGAGGCTCTTAAAGAAGAAGTTACAGGTCTGTGAGAGCCAGAAATCTTGTTTGTTTGTCGGTGACCAAATTTATTTTCCCGAGGAATTTACCAATTAATTCATTAAAAATCCTACAATGTGATTTCCTGGATTCTTTCCCCCCAGTCTGTCTCTCATAGTTGAAGTGTACCGAGGATGAAAATTACAGGCCTCTCTCATCTTTTTAAGTGGGAGAACTTGCACAATTGGTGGCTGACTAAATACTTTTTTGCCCCACTGTATATACTTCATTCCAACTTTAAAGCGGTCATAAGACCTTCAGCTATAAAACTTGTTCTTCAGATTTTTCATATCTTTTACACTTTTTGAGATATTTAATTAAGGCCAATTGTAAATTCAGACTGATCTTTCCTCAGAGCAGCAGCTGCACACCTTTAGTAAATCTGCCAAAAATGCCACATTATTGACCTGAAAGTGCACAAAAAGCAGATTTTACCGAAAGCAGCTACCGTTTTTAAACTATAGTTAGAAATGTAAGAGGTTTATTTCTCATTCAGAACAATGAAAAGGTTCTCCTTTCACAGCACATATCCATGGAAACCTTTGATCTCTGGGCTCAGTACACAGGTGTTTGATAACGTCATCACCATGGTAACCTTGATCTCTGGGCTCACACAGTCTGGTGTTTGATAACGTTTTCACCTCAAACACAAACACAGAGACTGGAGTGTAACAGACTGTCTCAGTCTATTATTTTCTGTCTGATGGAGACTTCATACTGACTTCAACACGTTCCACATATTTTATACATTATTGGTGACGTATGGTTTCAGTTCAAAAGTTTGCAGTTAAAATATTCATACATATAGTATATACATTTTGTTGTTTATACCTTTTTTAAACCTTTTCTTTTAAATATTAAGCTTCTTCACAATTGTTCCTACTCTTCCAGTTTAACATTTCACTTTCAAGTTTTCAACAAAGTCATTGCAATGCATTTGAGCTGTAACAATTTGATTCAAATCATTTCATTTTTCTGCATTTCTCCACTAAGTTCAGCAACACACTTACTTGGTTTCTGTAGCTAAAAGCAGCTACAGAGACCATTCAACTAATAACATATTCAGCTTTTCTGCATTTTCAGCTAAATTCAGCAACAAATGTACACAGTTTACAGCATTCGCACGCATTTTCAGCAGGAAATGCATTTTC